AGTTTCGCTTTCACAACGAAGCACACAGCGTCTTCACGACATGGCTGCAGCGTCAACAATACTACAGCGAGAATAAAAGTTACGCCTTCTTTCTTTGTGTGAACATTTGGGAGGCGTTATGCAAATCTTCCCACATCGTGACGTAGACATGTGGGGGCATGTTAGAACGAGCCGTTTTAGGTAGGCGTGGTTGACTCTTAAATTTTATAAAGAATATCTCTTTGGATTTGAGACTTTAGTCTTTGCAACTTTACAGATCTTCTTTATGCATCAAGAGCTTGTAACACTCCAAAGAGAAAGGAAAAATTTAAATCGCATCATATGACCCCTTTAAGGACATTACTGGCACTCGGAATTTGTATAGGCTGCTTTCTTATGTTTTATTCCTTGATAAAAGTCAGTTAGGAAAACGTGTATTTTTTTTTAGAGTTGCTGAAGATTTGTAGACACTCAGTAACATACTTGATTCGGTCGTGAATGACTCGGTGTTGTTAATGATTCTTTTGGGTGAATGATTCAATGACTCATTCAAAACACACAAAAAGTCAAGTTCACATTTTATTGAACTGATTTCATACATTTTTAGGTGGACAGGTCAGGAATTCTCTTACAGTCTGAAACAACCCCCATCCCACCTTTAAAACGAGATGACAGTGTTATGAGATTCTTGGCTTATTATTCAACATTAACATTTCTTTTTAGTGGTGTCAGAGGCACAGTCTCTTCAAAAGGGAAAGAAAACAGGTGTTGGTCACACATCACCAAATACTTCCCCACCCAACCCAAATTAGAATGATACAGAGTTCGATGTGTAGATGCACATTCTCCTTTCAAAGCAACACTTCTTAGTGTCATCCAAAATCTTTAGGGTTCAGTGTGGAGGCTATCTGAATGCTGAGGAAATAAGCATCTTTGAAGTAAAGTGCTGCTCAAGTTCTCTGTTAAATAACCTCGACTTGTATTTGGTTGTCATCTGACATTGCATCCAGTCTATAAATGGCGACTAAAATGAACAGAAGCTCACACAACAGAACATCTTGGGGAGTTTGATAACATGTAAGCCCCTAAAAAAAAGCAAGTAAGATGCCATCTGCCACCCCAAATACTGAAAACAAACATTCGTCTATGGTTATTTTGAGAATGGTTCACTCAGGTTTTTCAATTTCAATTTACAACACTGGAAAACAAAGGAAACACCTCCCAGGCTTTAACAATGGAATAATTGTGAACATAAGGGGAGAGAGAGAATTTTTCAGATTTCAAAAAGACATCTTAAAATGTGCAAATACAATGCAGCAAGCCTCAAGAATCAACAAGCCAATCAGAATCCACCATGGAGCTATTTGATCCAGTTAGAATTTGCATAATTGAAAGCAATGAATTTCAAAGCTGATTCACAAAACTGCATTCTGGATCTTTTCCCTAAACAATGATCAAAGAAAATAAATATATCAAGACACTGTAAGTGTTCGACCACCATCTCCTTTTAGATGACAAAGTGTCATATCACTCAGAGAAATGCATTTTATTCCAGACCATAAACACAGAATTGAAAGCATTTTTGTTGCGTTTTTATCACTTTTTTTTGGCAAAACTTTCTACCACACAGGTTTTGTAAACATAACGTTTCCCTTAATCTTTAAGAAGTTTATCACTAATGATATTGTGAAATAAAGACTTGTATGCATATTTGATCAGTTTCTTTTTCAATGCTCAAAACTCCAGCAATTCCTTTTAATTCAAAAAAACAAAAAATATATAATTCTATTAATATTTCATAAATAGCTCTGCTCTGAGACTTGTAATAATTAATGAATACATTTGAAATGGATATACAGGTCTGCCTCTGCTCAATGCATTTCCTCATAAATCAGTAGCACCTTTGCTTTCAAGATGATTCGATGATTTTCTTAAACAGAGCAGGCCCAAATTAAGAACATGTAACACGAGCCAGACTGATCCCAAAGGCTCTGGCTGTCCAAAGAAAAAACAAAATATAGCAGCTTTTTTTGGGGGGATTTTTGCTTTCCGTCCCCCCCTTCCTCTTTTATAGTTTATATCCAACCCTCCTCCCAGAGCCTCTCTCTTCCTGTAGTTTCTGACCCACAATCCTTCCCAAGAATTAACAAAAACACACAATTTTCACTCGTCACTTTCTCTAGCTCTCACAAGCAAACATCGATCACACCTTCCACGAATGTGCGCTGGACCTGCGATCAGGTCATAGTAATTTCTCCTCACTGCCCCGGGTGCTTGTAATTCTCACTGACGCCACATCGATGTGTGTCTGTATTAATACCTTAAGGCATCATTTGCACTGTGGGTGTGAATACTGATGCTGTTCAAAGAAAAAAGAAAAACAGGGCCATCGGGAGAAAGGAAGTCTCAAGGCTCTTGGAAAAACCCTCTTTTATGGCCACTTTTCACATGTACTGGCTCGATCACCACTGTGCAAAAGGCTTCAAGGAATATGCGCTGTAAGGCCCACGGTTTTGCATTGAAAACTTTCTTTTTGCATTCAAAAATGTTTAATTTTTCTTTGTCCTTTTTTTTTCTTTTGCAAAGTCCTTCAAAAAGAAAGAAAATGAAAGAATAAAAGGTATGGGAAAGGATGACTAAGGAAGAAAAGAAGATAGAGTGATGAAGATGGACAGATATGGGAAAACAGGCGAGTGGGGAATCTGTAAATAGAATAAATAAGGAACTGTTTGATCCCCACACTCTTCTCAAGATGGTCCTCCGGTTAGGGAGTGCTTTGATTGGCCAAAAGGGGTTGCTTGGTCCTGTGCCCTACAGCCAGGACTGCGCCTTCCGCTGGTCGAAGTCAGCGATGAGCCGTTTGATGTGGGCCAGTTTGTTGTGCAGGTACTCACAGCGCTGTTTTTCTTCATAATATTTTGGGCTGTGCTGTAAAGCAAACATAATGTGTGAATTAACATACTATTTTTATTGTTTACTTGCGGTCTAAAGGACCCAGATGGGTTAGACATGCTCAGTTACACTTACTTGTTTAATTTTTTTATATTCTTGCAGCACCTGTTCATGTACTTCCTGTTAATTAAGAAAATACAAACACTTATTACTTGGAATTTAAAATGTATATACATAAACATATACAATTCTTTATATAAAGAAAACAAGAGCAATATAAGAACAAAAAAGAAATCTTGTTCTCCTACCTGGTACTCTTTAGTTCCTGGTGCCAGTCGTCTACACTGGGTGTCCAATTTTGTAAAACGATGAGTAACACTCTCAACGCGGGCATGAAGGATACGATACTCATCATATTCTGCATTGAAGTCATTCTTATAGTGCTGCCTCTGATCCATAGATATCACTGCTGTGTACTTACTACAATATACAATAAAAGGACAATAAGATTCTAGATAGGTCTTATGCTCATTTCTATATGTACAGTATCTCACAGAAGTGAGTACACCCCTCACATTTTTGTAAATATTTTATTATATCTTTTCATATGACAACACTGAAGAAATTACACTTTGCTACAATGTAAAGTATGAGCGTACAGCTTGTATAACAGTGTAAATTTGCTGTCCCCTCAAAATAACTCAACACACAGCCATTAATGTCTAAACCGCTGGCCACAAAAGTGAGTACACCCCTAAGTGAAAAGGGAGCTACAGTTCATTGAGGGAACCATGAATGCCAACATGTACTGTGACATACTGAAGCAAAGCATGATCCCCTCCCTTCGGAGACTGGGCCGCAGGGCAGTATTCCAACATGATAACGTGGTGACCCATACTAGGAATTAGTGCTCTGCATTTATCCCATCCAAAGTGCACACTACACACCGTGAACACACACCCGGAGTACCCGGTGGGCAGCTATTTTTTTGCTGCGGCGCCCGAGTTGGGGGTTCGGTGCCTTGCTCAAGGGCGCCTCAGTCGTGGTATTGAAGGTGGGAGAGAGCGCTGTACATTCACTCCCCCCACCTACAATACCTGCCGGTACGAGACTCGAACCTGCAACCTTTGGGTTACGAGTCCGACTCTCTAACCATTAGGCCACGACTTCCCCATAACGACCCCCAAACACACCTCCAAGATGACCACTGCCTTGCTAAAGAAGCTGAGGGTAAAGGTGATGGATTGGCCAAGCATGGGCATCCTCAAACGGAAGGTGGAGGAGCGCAATGTCTCTAACATCCACCAGCTCCGTGATGTCGTCATGGAGAAGTGGAAGAGGACTCCAGTGGCAACCTGTGAAGCTCTGGTGAACTCCATGCCCAAGAGGGTTAAGGCAGTGCTGGAAAATAATGGTGGCCACACAAAATATTGACACTTTAGGCCCAATTTGGACATTTTCACTTAGGGGTGTACTCACTTTTGTGGCCAGCGGTTTAGACATTAATGGCTGTGTGTTGAGTTATTTTGAGGGGACAGGAAATTTACACTGTTATACAAGCTGTACACTCACTACTTTACATTGTAGCAAAGTGTCATTTCTTCAGTGTTGTCACATGAAAAGATATAATAAAATAATTTTATTATATTATTATTGTATGTGATGCAGAGGGTTTATGCAGAAAGACACTATAAAGGAGTCAAAGTTCACTCACACTATGTAATCAGGCTTTGTTGGGACTGGAAGTTCAGTGCTGTTGACAAGCTTGTCTTTGCCAGCTGTAAAAAGACACCAGTCATGTACCAACATGGAATTCTGCCCTCTAACAAGCACATGTGACATGATCTTTGTGTCTTTAGCAACAGACTAACATAAATATGTTGTGAACTAAAGTTTGAGGGCCAAAGGCAAATGGAACATAAATCAAGCTATTCATCAGGCCTGACAAGCTTAACACATCTTTAATTCACAACAGCTGACATGCAGCTAATAATGTATTTTTATTTTTATAATAATCAATTAATTAATAATGTTAACACCACAAACGCCATATACACAGCAAAACAAACCTTCTCTGTCCGATTCGTGGCTGATCTTGGCGAGAATGTGTCTTTGTTCTGCCTGATTCCGGTGTTTCTTCCTGGGCTGTGCTTCCTTATCACAGTGATCCTCCCTGTGATGTTCTCTATCCCTCTTTCGGTCCTTATCCTGATCCATCTCTCGCTCTCCTTCTTGCTTCCTCTCTTTATCTTTGTGCTTCTTGGACTTTTTGGGCTTTTTGCTACCATTGCCATCATGGCTGGCTGTAGAAGATGCGGCAGAAGAAACATGGTGGCCGCTGCTGGTGGTAGTGGTGGAGGTAATGGTGGTTGTAGAGACGGTACAGGTGGAGAAGGATGAGGGGGACGTCGTGGAAATTGGCTGGCTGGGTGGGCTGGGCGTGTGGCTGCGGGGGGCGTAGCTCTCTGAGGAGTTCCCGCATATAGAGCTCTGGTCCAGGGGCAGGTCCTGAGACCCCCCGCCCTCCGGCGTACTGGGGGAGTTTGAACTGGAGCCTGTGACAGGGGTAGGGTGAAAAGAGGGTCCTGGGCAGGCGGCCGTGGGTGCAGGTTTTTTGTCTTCAGTCACTGAAGAATGACGACCTGAAGAGGAGGGGGGTCCTCGGTTACTGAGATGGGAGATTCGGGGCTTCCTTGACATCAGAGGGTCAATGAAGTCAGTCTCAGGTTGGCGTTTCTGAATAGCAAGAAACACATTATTCTTGGGTCTGCAAATTCATGGATGTGCAAAGAGTGACAATTTTTGTACATGGTTCATAATTATATTTTAAATTAAAATCTAAATATATTAAAAAAAAAAAGTATATTAATCGAAAT